ATGAAATCCCCGGGTTGAGAACCGAAGACGAAAATCTCATCCAAGACTCCGGTACCCGGGGAACTTGTAGCATTAAAATTCTTACTTTTTCCCCGCTTAAGTTACTGCCCTTCCCGGGTTGGGGGGGGGCGGGGATTTACAATGACTGGTGCATTAAACACTCTTCTAGCCATGCCTGTTATAGTATTTAATATCATTAAGCTATAAGATATAGGCAAAGTTTAAGTTGTTACTGATACATGTGTTCATTTGATATTCTCAACAGAAGAAACATTTCAAATTCGTCTTTAAACGCAGTGCGCAATCCTTTACCAACCCAAAATGGTCAGGGAAGACAAGGCAACTTGGAAGACCAACTATTTCCTTAAAGTGATTGTAAGTTATTAACATAATGTCTTTATCATTTATGGGTATTGATATCAGGGTTTTTTTCCACAGCGTCACTTGGATGAATACCCAAAGGTTTTTATTGTTGGCGTTGACAATGTCGGCTCCAAGCAGATGCATCAAATCCGTCAGTCTCTCCGTGGTAAAGCCGAGATTCTTATGGGAAAAAATACCATGATCCGCAAAGCCATCAGAGGACACTTGGAAAATAATCCAAGTCTTGAAAAGTGAGTAAAATGTTTTCAGAGAGAATGGAGGAAGCAGGATTTACATAGGMTCTATATTGCATGTGAGTTGTATCATTTACTTTGCATGTTTTTTTCATAGAATTCTTTCACATATCAAGGGCAATGTTGGCTTTGTATTCACTAAAGAAGACCTTGTAGAAGTCAGAGATATTATTCTTGCAAACAAAGTTGCTGCCCCTGCAAGAGCTGGTGCCATTGCTCCTTGTGATGTGTACATCCCAGCTGGTAACACTGGTCTTGGGCCAGAAAAGACCTCATTCTTCCAAGCCTTGGCTATCCCTACCAAAATTGCTAGGGGAACCATTGAAATCCTGGTAAGAAAGATATTATTGTCCTCATTTGAAATTGAATACATTCAAATAATTTGATCTTTTTCCCAAGTCTGATGTGCATTTGATAAAGAAAGATGAAAAGGTTGGAGCTTCAGAGTCAACTCTTCTGAACATGTTGAAGATTTCTCCTTTTAGCTATGGTCTTCAAATTGAGCAAGGTAAATTACAGATAAAACTGTCATGAAGTCTGCCTGTATTTTTATAATTTTTGGCATTTGAATTCTAGTGTATGAAGATGGATCATGTTTTCACCCATCTGTGTTGGATATAACTAGTGATGACATACTGGCTAAATTCAGAGAGGTACTACTTGACATTGTATTCCTTTTTACATGTAACTCTGTTCAGTAAAAAAACTTGTTATTGCCTTTCCAGGGAATTGCCAATATTGCTTCAGTGTCCCTTCAGATAGGTTACCCAACAGTTGTATCAGTTCCTCATTCCATCATCAATGGGTTCAAGGTAAGTCCATGATGACAATCCATCACATTCTGATGAATATCACTAACAAATTGTTGTTGATACCATTACAGAATATTGCAGCTGTTGCCCTAGAAACTGAAATCACATTCCCACAAGTTGAACAGGTTAGAAGAATGTTACAGCAATGATGCCCAAAGTGATATTTCTGTAGCAGGACAAATATCAGTATTCACAACAATAAGTCAACAATCTCTTAGAGACTATTGTTATTCAAACAAATTAGATTTTGTGAAATTAATGTCMTTTATCTCTTAATTAGCTCAAAGCCTACTTGGAGGATCCTTCTGCCTTTGCTGTTGCAGCTCCTGTTGAAGCTGCTAGTGAATCAGCTGCTCCCGCTGCTGAGGAGAAGAAAGAAGAATCTGAAGAAGAAAGTGATGATGACATGGGTTTTGGTCTCTTTGACTAATGTTTAATGCAGTCTGTGTCAAATTGAAATAAAAACCTTGAAAACARCATTGTTCACTTGTCCTTTTTGAGATACCTTGGATTTTCAATTGATAAAATCAAAGCAACTATGATAAGATATATTTTATTTAAATTTCTTTTTTGCATACCCGCAGTCATTATTGCATATTGGTGTTTTCTGTTTTACGCTAAAAAAAGTATATTTTATGCAAACTCACAATGAATGCAGCTTTGGATCCCCTTCTTTTTAATCATAGTTAACTATGTTTTGATGAAGAAGGGATACTAATATCAGTCATAAGGACCAGCTGAACTTACAGTAAACGTGTCAATCTGACTTAATTGAAGACGAATACTTGTTTTATTTATAGCCAAAACTAAATGAGTTTTTCAGTGTCTATAGTATATGGCGAGCGTCTCGACCAAAGAATTTTATATAAATGCCTATGTCATGCAAGGATTTAAGATGTCATAATGGACCAATCAGAGCATGCAACGCTTGATCAGACGGCTTTTGACATCCATTGTTAGCAACAATGAAACTGAATTACCCTGGAGACAGCACTTCTGTTTCATCACATTAAAAGATATGCAGAATTGTCTGATTACAGCTGCTATTATTACTAAGGAGGAAAGAACGTGTGAATAACAGACTTCAGCAGTTTGCTTTAAAGGAATTTAGATTAATTTCACAATGCCAGAAACCCACGAAAGACCTAAGTCAAGGTTAGAATGAGCATTACGATTACCGCGTTTCTGTCGGAGGATGTAGTCTAGTTATATTTCTCTCCACTGTCATTTTTATCGTGACAAAACTGCAGTGATTAGATTGTTTTCGGTTGCTCTTTGTGTAGTTGAATTTACAATTACTTATGAATATGCTCTTCAAGCTCGAGAGATATCTAAATAGTCTAAATATACTAACTTTTTAGCCTGAATGAAACATTGTTTATTAACAAAAAGGTTCCTTAGAATAACGCGTAATCCATCTAAAGTGTTCCGGATTGTGACTTAAAAGTTACAATTACTTGGAAGTCATCGTGTGTAAATATAATATACCAGGTGTTTATGCAGTTTATGGGGTGAACAACATGGCGCCTGCCCAACCGAAAGCTGCCCCACTGATACCTGGAGTGTATGTGTTGCTTGAGACGCGAATGCGTAATAAGGAACTGATCAACACTGCCAGACACAAAGTAAATAGCAACTGTCATAATTACAAATCATGTAAACATCTGCCAGTTATTAATTAAGTTACAATTATTCATTAATGAATATATAATTAGGAAATTAATTGGTGGTTACCTTGAAATTAATCTTTCAAATTTAGTGTTTAACTTTTTTTAATTAACTTGATCTTTAATAGTAGCTTTGGCATTTGAGATAGCATTAATGATAGTTAATAAGCTTGGATTTAAGGCAATGGTTCTGGTTAAATTTAACAAACAAATAATGAAAATAATGTATGAATTATTAATCATAGAGCATCTCTGAAGCATGAAATGATAAGACAAGATATTGATGAAAAATGGAAAAGAACCATGATGACACCTACAGGAGTAAAGATCATAAGAATTCAGCCATCTCTTAATTATGACTCATTACACAAGGTAAGTTTGAACAGTGTTGCCAAAAAGTGGGATCACCAGCAAACGAATRATGTCATGATCCTGACAAGGTGCTTAACTGCTATTATATATACTGATATCACTACCTCATATGCACACATTAGAACACATACAGTTTGAACTATCAAACATAAGATTTTAATATAAATTAAACTGCAGTCAAAGAAAATATGAAATAATTGGATGGTAAAGCATAATTTTGTTTAGTCTGGTAAACATGTTCACAATGTTATGCATTGAGGGGAAAAGATAARCAACAATAAAAAATAAGCGAAATAATGACAACAAGAAAAAATACAAAAAACAACAAAAAAAACACAGTAAATGCTACACTGGGCTGTATTTAATTATTGATAAAATTGTGATAAAGTGTATAACAGATAAAATTTGCTTATTAATTAGTCCTGTCTGTCCAGTTCAATGGTGGAATGGTTCCAAGAACTCACAATGTTGTGTTATGACTATTTATTCTAAAAACTTTGTCTGTGATTGTATTACTGTAAACACATTACTTGTAGCTAATTCCTTTATATCTGATATGGCTCAGCCTTACAGTGAATATTTTCTTGATCATAAAGCGTTGCATGCAAGCTTGTTAGCCATTGGGCAACAGTAGGSTTACGATGTGATCACTACGATTTTAAAATAAGGTGCTAATTGTGTCTTCTGGGAACACTTCATAAGTGTAAAAACAAACATTCTACARAAATGTATGTGTGAAAGACCGCAAGAGATTATTGAACGTTTTAATTGCACATTTACTAACTGTTTTATTCTAAAAAATACGATAGTTATATAATTAATATAACATACAGTATGTGGTCACTAGGCAACATGGCTTGACGCTCATTCATTGCTATTGTTTGTACAAACAATAGAGTAAGGTAGAGAAATAATTCCAAATAATTATCAAATCCAATATGTAAAGTGTGAGTGCAACTCCTTTAAAACGCCTAGAGATCGCTTTTGTTGATGGTTAAGCATGGATCCCTTTTTGGCCCCAGTGCAGTGTATAATAAGGGAAAAAGATCCGAGACTTGACGTGAAAATTGTGAGAAGAGGACGCTCGATAGTTTACAAAGTAGAACCAAGAGATATTCTGGACGTTAGAAAAGAGATCAAAACCTGGAAATGTCCACCGCGCGAAGTGCGTCAAATTGTAGCCAAAGCACTTGACGCGGTGAGTCCAAACAAAACCTTTTATACGTAACTGAAATCACTAAACCAAGATTCCRTATCTAAAAAATAAATGTAGATTATTTGTCCTTGGTTAATCTCTTATTTTTCAATTAAGTGTCCATTGGTTATGGAGTTTGYACAACAAGACTTAATATACTCCTACATGACATGGATACCAACAATAGGTTACTATGATTAAAACTGGTAAAAGGATTGTCTTGACCRTTGATTCTTGGTATCCAGGGAAAGCTTTCAGATTCAAACATTTCTTCTTCTATATCTTTTTCGGTTAGCAAAAAACTGGCTTTGTKTTACTATGGTTTTTGGAGGCACATGTCTGTCGAGAACAGAACTCATCCAGATTTTGCGAATCATCTTTTGCAGCTAGAGCTCGTCATCACATTCGGCGTCAAATGGTTTTGATGTAACTTTCYATCATTCTCTCATTGATCTTGATCATGTCTTCTTAGTATCAAAACAGGTCAGAGATACAATCACTGGAGAGCACATCAACACCTGTCACGCCAAGAACGTCAGGAAGAGCAGCCACAAGGAATGGAAGTAGAGCTGGATCCGCAAAGTCATCGACGAGGTATGATTTATAATCCACTATTACTGCACCACAGTGTAATCAAACAATTTTAAATTCATCATCAGCAGAACAGAAGCCGCGCGACCAGGAGAAATGTTTGAAAAACCTCCATCACCTGTAAGACCTGGTAAGTTGTCTTCTTTGAACAACATTGATCACGATAGGTGTATTGTGAAAAACAACTTTTCTGATAAGTAGAGAATTGTCGCGGCTTTCGTCGATAACCAATTAATGGTGGTGTAATTCTTTGTGTTTTATGAATCTGCACTGTGAATCTGCACTGTGCGTCGTTTTGTAATAACCAACGTTTTTCTTTAGCTTCGTCTCGTAGTTGTCCGCCCAGTGCTACATTCAATTCAAGAAGCCGGTCTTGTCAACCAACTCATATGTACATGAAAGACGACCTTCGACGTGTTGCCAAGCTTAACCGACCAGCAAGTCACGTGCATTCATGTAGTCAAAGTAGCGTTTCTACTGAAGAGAAGCCGAGGCAGCCACGAAGTCCAAGGAGATTTGATGGAACCGTTGTTAACCTTCCAAAGTTTGTTCAAGATAATGAGTTTCTTACACACGAAGACTTATCCATGGGCCAAAAACAGTATATATGGGGAATTGCAAGGATTTACTCCATGTCAAACTTGATGGATCTTAAACAAAGGCAATATCAAAGTCTTCTTGACCACGACTTTCATCGTAATATGCAAGACAACAAACTGAAAGAAAACGAAAGGCTGCGAGAACGGCGCGAATATCAGAGATATACAAAGTTCATCAAAAGATATGAGCAGGTTAGTTTAACGAGGCGTGTATTCTATAAAGTGAGTGAGGTTTTAAGGACGAGGTTTCATATAAGATAAGTGATAGTCGTTTCAGGTTCTTTTTCGTTTCCAAATATTKAAACAGAGATCATATAAAGCGGTCGTGTTATACCAAATCTTAATTCATTTTAGAGGATACCACGTGCCGCTACCCGGCAAAGCTATGACTCAGCCTCCCCCTGTAAGGAGGTTTCACACATACATCGCCATGTGATCAAGGGGTGGACAACGAACCCTCATTCAGACGAAGCCTATCGACCTGTTAAGGGAAGGAGAGAAAGTAAAGAAGAAAGTGATGAAAGGCGTCCAGATGGGACCGGTCATGATGATGRTAATGAACCATTGTCTGGTCACTATCGACTAGTCATAGTGAAGACACCGTTAACAAGTAAGAGAGAGAACCACTATAAGCGTAAACTTTATTGACAGTATTTATACAGGCTGTCCAATTCAGTKAGTGCTGGTTTAAATGGAGGCCGGGAGTGTTTTACGAATAATTAGACAATAGGAAAATAAAACATTACAAAAGGAAAATAACAACATATAGAAAAGGGAAACTTTAGCGGCATAACTATATAATTCATTCAGTGCCGCCTTAAAAGTCGCAATTGATGCAATTTCCCAGCTGATATTTGAGGAGTGTGAGTTCCACTCTTGCGTCTCGATAGCGAAACGATCTTTGGTATTTAGCTGTCCGGGCTTAGGACATACGCAGCTAGTCTTAGTTGCGAGTATTGTAAAGGTGGACCTCACTGTTTTCCTTTCTTACAGAAAACGATGAACAGGAAACAAACATATCGAACGAGAAGATAGAGATGAACATGGAAAATGGGATACACATGAACCCTGAACAATTGTCAGAGGGAAAAGAAAGCAACTATTTATGAAGACTGCTTGGACATAGCGTTATTTAATGTAGAAGTTGCTAGTTAGGTTTCAAACTAACATATCTTAATATCATGCTTAGACAAAACTGACTGGATAAAACTGTGACTTATTGTACAGATGAAGGTTTTTCTTATCGAGCATGGATTACTGAATGATGAGTGCGGAATAAATATCATGAAATTGTATTATGTGTAGTAAAGTAAAGACTGTTGTCCTTTTAAAAACTTCTAGTTTTGACCAAAGATGTGTGAAAACAGATGTAAAGCCACACCCAATTATGATACGGGTGTTGACTTGCGTATGTCCGTAAGTTTTTTTTTCAAGCCGTGACCTGTTTCGCGAATTCCAATCTGCAATTGCAAAACACATAAAAGAACACTGTCTTCCCCTTGAAACGTCATTAAAACGTTCATGACCTGAATAAATGAACGTGACCTTGACATCTAAAAAGTCATTTTTTATCATTTTTGTGACGAAAGGCATTGCGAGGCCTCTCGTTACTCTGTCATGATGTTGAGTGACGGAACCGTAACATCCACTTGTAGCAGGCGTTCCTTGCAAGTCCTTTAAGCTGAAAAGAGAAAATCACTAGAAAAAAGAAAACGAAGACGAGAAAACAGCAAAGAAAACGACTGAATGAAAAAGAGTAAAAAAGAAAGAATAAAAGAAAACTAGAAACAAACGCAAGAGACAATACGCAAGCAAAAAAGAGAAATTCAAGTAGCAGGACTCGAACTCAGGACTTTCACTTCAGGAGGAGATGCATCCCCCGGAATACATAAGAAATAATAAAAATAAAAATCTAAAAAAATGGGACGATTCCCCCGAGACATTCTATGAAGCTGAGGCGTCGAATCGGCTTACGTTACGGTTAGAGATTTCGGCTCTTCCACGCTATCCCGAGTGAACATAAAACTTAGTCTTAACCAAAAGGCCAGGGAGTGAGGGGGTAGCCGCCCACTAGAGCATACCTTTAGCTACCCTCTTAGACCATCGTACTATGAAGACACTTATAGATATCTAATATCTAATTGGGGTAGTCTATTCGGTGAAGATCTATGCTAATATATGACGTCACCAAAATCCAAAGGGAGTAGCGAGCCAATCAGAGCTCAGCTCAGGAATTWGCAAACGATGCAGGCTTTGCATAATCATTCCTCAGTAGATTTATTATTTGACGGGGGTGGGGTGGGGTGGGGTGGGATGGGTGCTGRGTGGTAGTTTGCGGCCGGATACCGATGTTCGGTATGTGACGGCTTTCACCAAGCTGTTCAATTGTCGTTATATTGTTGTCCAAATCATCACATTTTAAATTAGTTTTACAGTTCTTATATCAGACAGGCATTACTAGTATCACGGATAAAAAACACGACAAAATCTCTTGAAATTCTTAAGACCGATACTAGCTGTTGCCAAAGATTTGCCGGGATTCAACTAACCTCTGAAACTTCAACATTACACTCGAACTTTGATAAAGTTTACAAATGTATTAATATTCAGGATTATCAAATAATTCTTGAATATAAACTAGTGAATACTAATAATTAAAGAGAACGGATGATAATCCGTATAAATTATATAATCAAATTAAAAATTATTTTGACTCCAAAGAAATGTATTGAGAACTAAAAATAAATTTTCTCGCTCCCTAGTTGAAGCACATCCTTCAAATTTGGCCAGTCAGCTCCTTTTTGTAGTATCTAACATTTGCAATTGATAATTCTTTCTGAATTTGAATTCAGCGAGAATTATTTGACATCGATTTTTCTGGTCATTCCTTGTTATTTTGCGACACTATGCCTACCGGTCCAAAATGGCGGACAAAACCGTCACCTCATCTATTGTATACTATGCCGAGCGGCGAAGAAGCTTTAAATTTTCAACTGAATTTGGTCAAAAGGAAGACTATCTACACCTAAATACAGTAAAGTATCTTTGATTAGACTGGATTTACAAAAGCTTTTATTCTATTTACCAAAAAAAATTACAAGCGCGCGCCTGGGACAAAACTGAATCACGGCTCACGCTATAAAAAAATATTCACGCCTCACGGCTATTTTTTTCGCATTTTCACGACTCACCGTGKAAACAATCGTGATTGCTGGGCTTCCTGTGGTAAGACAGAACCGCTGCCCAATGTGCTGACTCATAAACAAAGTCAAGTCAGCTGAAAATCAAGTCAGCATTATAAATTGTTTAGTTTTCGTCTCTAAAATATGATTTAAAATGGCATCATATTTTGACGAACATGCATCTACTGATAGGGCTTCACATCCCAATTTTCTACTCGAACTAGCAAGGTGTGTGTAAGAGGGAGATGTCATCTAATAAAATCGAGGAATGTAAGTGATAAAACACTAAATCTTTGCATTTTGTAGGCTGTTATTGTCAACAGAAGATTTGGTTGAGCTTGCAAGGTATTTGTTACTACTAGATATAGAATATTCTGTATTTCAATCTAGTACACGATTTGAATCAAAATGTGTTTTCATCCAAATCCTAGCGCTGGATTTAACGAGCTTGGATCTCCCCCAGCATCCAAAGAKGCCGTAACTAAATTATTGATTTTAGAAATTACAAAAGAGCACCTTCAAGGTAAACAATGAATAAATCTTTATCTTAATTATCTGTATAGATAGATGACTAAATTATGGYATTCCCATGCTACTCTGTTGTATCAGTTTGTTTTTCATTTTGCAGATGATTCTKCTTCGAGTTGTCCAATATGTCTTGCCGAGTTTGAGGAGCATGAAAAAGTTAAACAGATGCCATGTGAGCATATATTTCATTTGGGATGCATTCATCCTTGGCTAGAAAAGGTGCATGACATACAAAGTATATAGTATTGTTAGCCACCTTTTATCTTCATTATAGCTGACATGTATGTATGTGCATAATAATTATTTCAGACAAATAGTTGTCCAGTCTGTAGACATGAGTTACCGACAGACAATGAAGAATATGAGGACCTAAAAAAACTCAAGGTGATTAATAAATAGTCTATATACTGAATTTACAGAGTAATAATATCAATGACTATATACAATTACTGTATATAATTTTTGTCTTGAAGGAGCAAGAGGAAGAACGCCAGCAGCGAGTAGAAGCTCTTCATTCATCTATGTTTAGTTAATGATAAAATTGCTCTCGATTTGATTTTTTTAAAGGTTAATACCCACTTATCTTATCAAGTCAGTGAAAATATAATAATTCCAGTRAATTTAAAGTTTTGCCTGAAAAGCTCAAACTGATATTCATTGGTATTATTGTAGTATCTCTCACAACTGCAACTTCCAGTTTCGTCAAGGACCCTAGTATTATTTTGTTATAGTAGAGGAAATTTCAAATTTATCAATATCTGGTCATTTAATGGTAAATCAAGAAGACTTGTACATAGTCCACAATTGTGATCACTTTGACAATCCAATTAAGCCAACMATGGTTATAGATAAGAGGACACACTGTTATGATATGCCGTCACTTCCTGTATGTATTATGTCACGCTGTAGAGTGTATAGCATACAGATATTATAAACATGGCCTCCATATTGTAAAGACTTCTGTAGTGCTATTCTTGAAGCATGGTGAAAAAAGTGGGATTCCAATCTACTTCAAGAAAGTAATATGGAGGATATATGGAGAGACACATTGTATCCGTGAGTGTTGAAAAGAAGTGAGAAGTAGGTATTTCGTGGCACAGGTAGCCCATTTTTAGTAATTTTGCAAAATATGTTAAAWTTAATAAAAATAAACATCTCTACCTGTTTATTGTGGTTTTCAATGCATAGCTTGGGCTACCTGTGTTCATGGATATTTATTCACATCATTAAAGTAAGATCAAAGATCCAGTCTTCAAAAAGTGTTAGCATAATAAATTCARTTTCCATCATATACATTAAAATGAGTAGTTGCATTGTAATAAAATATAGATTTAAAATTGTGTAATTTGTGTTGCCATGGTTTCCAGTTGACCCACTCTCCATTCTAATTCAAATAATTATTGACCCTGAAAAAATTCTAAATTCTTTAAATGGGAATTAGTAAACCCTTTTACGACACGATGGACTGTTGCCAATTATCAATTATCAACATTAGGTCCATTTTTGTAAAGCTTTAAAAACTGGGCTTCCTGTTTGCAATGTCTTCATTTTGATTCCAGCGGTTGAACATGCAAAGTACGCATGCGTATAACGATACCGAACGTTTACAGCATGTGCCGAGATGTAGAAAACTAGGAAAAACTAGCAAAACTTCACTCTTGAGGGTTCTTATTTGGAATTTATTGCCTGAATAGAAGGCAGACAAATTATAGAAAGAGATGGTTGTAGAAATTCGAGCAAAATGACTGAGAATATATTTTGTGAGGCTTGTAGAATACCCGGCTCTTCCAGCAAGATGTCGATTTATCAACTCAACATGGAAGAAGCGATTTTGATGTGTGAGAACGCACAGGTTTGTTGCTTATTCGCTGTTTATAGAATTGTGATTTGTAACTGATCTGATTTGGGTATTGTTTCAGTGTGTGTTTACCATGGTCCTTGGGGCAGCTCGTCTTCAAGACTATATCATCACAAGAAAAGCAGAAGACATATTTAAGCTAAAATCAAAGGGGAAAAAAGACAATCAAGTAAGCTATTCATTTTTGCAATTGCTACAGCTTATTTAAACGCCCAATGAGTTTTATACTTTTAAATACAGGTTTGTATTATGTCTGGAAATATTGCCTTTAAGCTTTTACTGATAATATTTGACACATTTGACAAGTGGCAATAATGAGTAATATATTTTCATTACTTTAGACACAATGATTTTTGTTACTTGTCGTAATATACTGATTTCTTTACAGGACATACAACCTATGAGACTCGACAAGGTTATCCACTGGGAGAACGTTGATGCCCTATGCTGGCTAAATAGTGCATTAAGTGTTCTTGTTCATAATAGCACCATAAAGCATTTGATATCAAGAATACAGACAAGTGAGAACTCTTTGYTAAAGTGCTTGGTTAATCAGTATGCTAAAGCACAATATCTGTCAGAAGTTGATATGATCAATGCAAAGAAAGTTCTTATAGATGTACGGGATTTAGTATGGACATTTTTATGTCCTAAAATGAAATGTACRCTTGGTGTAAATGATTCACCTTTGTTTGCRTTGCTGTTGTTGTTGGGAGAGAATGTCATCACTGCAGACAGATGTATCCAGGAATATGTGTGTGAATTCGCTTGTCAATCATGTCATCATACAGAAACTACAAGGTAAGAGGCCAAAATTTCAACTRCTATTACATTCTCAAAACAGTTAACTATTATGGATGATATTTAGATCATATTTTAGAGTATTGTCCATAAGTACAGTAAGTGAGAATTGGTTGCAGACACTGATTTCTAAGTAATTTATCTGTTGCTAGGGAATATTTGATGTCCTCAATAGTGTCCAGCCACATATCAAGTAGATTAATTGACTAATACTATTGAACTATGTTTCAGACACAAAAAGCATGTTGTAACTTTCCCTAATACTCCACTGAACTTTGTACTTCAAGAAGCATCATTTCAAAGACCTTGCAACAATTGTAATGAAAAGAGACAATGTAYTAAGATTATTCACACCAGGTATTAATGAACCAGTTTGTAATGTTTATTAGTTTTTAACCGTATATAAATTTCACGAATTCCATGGTTTTATGAATAAGTAGTATTTTAACTGTTTTTTTGTTTTTGTTTTGCAGGGTACCTGATGTTTTGTTTTTCCATTTTGTTGAGGGATTGAAATCTTCAGATTATTTGAATTATAGATTCAATCATGAAGGTTTCAGCTATCATGTAACACAATTTATACAATATAAACATGATCCTGACCATTTTATTTGCTGGACAAAACATGAAGATGGTAAGTTATTAGAATGAAAAGTATGATGTGAGATGTTGTTTATATSTTGTATACATAAAAATGTATATTTAGCTTTTTATTGACATCTGTAGCTAAAATTGATTTGTTGCTTTACCAGGTCTCAGATGGCTTGATTTGGATGATTTAAAACCACCATTACACTGCTGGTCAGATAGCCTTCCTGATGTGCCTCCATCACAAGTCCATATCATAGTTTTAGAAAGAGTATCTTCGCCATGCAACACTTCATCTGGTGATCAACATGTCAGCAAAAGTCAGTCCAATGTTGCCGAAATATCAAAAGTTGACTCATCTTCACAAGAAAACCAATTAAACAATGCCAAAAAACAAGACATTGAAAATGAACTTGATGCAAAACTAATTATTTTTTCCCAAGAAACACCATCTAAAGACAATTTAATAGATAATAATTCCAATCGATTTCCATTCAAGGATTTAAATAATCCAAATAGGACTCCACAAGTCGTAAGCTGTCATAGTGAAAGAACGAGTTCTCAATCTAGAACACTAAATTCCTCAATACCATACAGGGTTAAGCTAAAGAGACTGCCAAGTGGAAGACAATTACAAACTTTTCTTGCCAAAAACCCTAAAATGTTATTAAATGAATTCCAGCCATATGTTCCTAAAAAAGAAAGATCTTGTCTTCCTGAAGAATCTTGTATAGAAGGCAAAACAAACTGTGGAAACCTTCACAGTCCATCTGGAGCCTTGAATTCCCCTACAGATAGTGGCTATTCTAGTCCCAGTTCTGTGAGTTCATGTTCATCTAATGTAATAATTGGTAAAGAGGAAAGTATTGCTGATGAACTAGAGAAACTGCTGCCAGACTGTTTGGAGAATGCTGCACCAATCGAGGAAATGTCTGCAAGACAAGATGACTTCATACAGCAGCTTTTAAACAGCTGAATTAAAATATAGCTTTTATGATTTAAATGTGGGAAATAAGATTCTCTGTCTGGATGAAGAAATGTATATTTGAATAATTTAATTAAATTTTGCAAACACTAAAAAAGTGTACAACAGATACCAGTACATCATAACATGAAACCATGAAATACTAACTAAAGTGAAATCATTATCACATGAWATAGTGTGATAGTCAAGTAGACACAAAAGAAAGCAATGCAATTAGAGCAAGGTGTATAAATGTATGTAATGTCTATTTCAGGGGGTTTTGACTTCACTTTAACTATATCATGGGTTTAGTGAAATGACTTTTGAATATTTGAAATACTGCTAAAAGATGACATACACTACTGTAAAGAACTTGAATTAACTCATGCTTTTGTTGGTCACCAACATCATCAGGAAAGTAGTGTATGGCTACTCATATATTATATATCATCCACAACACCATGATACTTATGAAATTCTATTATTYTTATTATTTATATTTAGTAGTAAATGAGTGCAAGGTGCACACATTTACTTGTACTCTAACATGTCGATAAAACAAGTACTTTCTCTTTAGTTTTATATAGCAACAAACTAGGGAGTTGAAATGGCCTTGTCATTGTCAATGTGTGACATTGTAGCAATCAGGTGCTTTAAATGCAAAAGAAATTCAACCTGGAAAATTGACTCGAGTGATGAATTTTCTATGGGCGCTGAAGCACTAGTGCGATATAAGAAGCTAAACAATCTCCTTAAACAAATAGAAAGGCAACCTGGGCCACTCGATCTGAACAAACTGTAGTGTGTCAATGTTCGGACTTTAATTTTTGTTTTTTATATCGTCCCGTCCAATCAGTTATATTGCTGCTATCTTGGGCTTCGAACACCACTACCTCCATGGAGGTAATGTTTTCTTGAGTTCATGTTGTTTTTCCCTTCTGCTGTTTGGTCTTGACGGATTGTTCGTTAATCTAAAGCTGTCCTCCTCGCTACTTTCACGTATACTGCCATCCAGATGGAGTTGGTGGTGCGGCATAGATGTGAAAAACTTGTCCGTCTTGACTCCTTGTTTTGTTCTCCCACTATCAAACAAAGTGTGATCAATAACTGTAGGAGAGAATTTCGTGGGTTTATATTTTCTTTCTGGTGTAGTGTTAGTAGTGCGAGAGCTCGAGGTTGGACGTGACGGTGAACCAGGACAGTAGAAAAGTAGTGGTTTTGGTGGTGGTTTAAGTTTTGTTTTTCCATTGTCAACCCAAGGTGGTTCAAACTTAGGAACTGGATCAGGTTCTAGTGTGGTGCGCCGTTCACCAAATAACGTCTCGTCAACAGATGAAGGAGTGAATCTCGTCTTTTTAAATCGCCCTCTCGATGTATATGCACTTGAGTCAAACATGTTGCAATATACAGTGTTTCTTCGCTTCGGAAGTCTCTTCATATGTTGGTAGCCGCCATTATGAAATTACCATGGAAACGAACCAGCGACATATCTCATGACATCGACGCCAAATAAATACAGGAATGAATTTGTTCGCTTGTTTTTTTGTTTGTTCTTTTTTACTTTCTGTTCTTACAGTGATATTTTATAGGAAAGCGGACGCCATATCAGATCATAATCTTTGCAACAATAGCTTTTGGCAATAAATATTGTTGAATCACAACTTTCCAATAAGATGACTCCGTGGCGCAATGGTAGCGCGTCTGACTCCAGATCAGAAGGCTGCGTGTTCAAATCACGTCGGGGTCATGATCACTTTTTTTCTTTCTGAAAGCCCTTTTTTCTCCTTTTAGGTATAGTTCTATGAATCATGAAAAGGGAGGAGGTTGGCCAACTGCTTTTGCTTCCAAAATTTATATTTCGTTTTAGATGTAAGATTACACAGGTATCCCAATGTCAATATGGTAAAAGAGGTAATTAGCTAATTGACGGACGSAAATTAATTGTATGACGTCAACAGCTAGTTCTAAAAATATTCAAACAAATTGTAGGAAGAAGTCGATAAATGGCTTCGGTTGTTCAAGGTCATTCGTCACATAGCCGAAAAATAAGACCGTCAAAGATTCCTGTGCGTAAAAAGCCGAAAAAGAAAGTTGTATTTTCTAGTGGAGAATCTTGTGACGAAGACCAAGCGCACATTAGAACAGCAGTTAGTCGTTAYAGGAAACTCAGTACTTACGACTGTCTTAGTGACTTCGACGACATATCTCCTAGACCAACCACTAACAGTTTTGATGGACAGGAATTTCTATTACAAAAGACTTTAAACAATGTAGCTGACACATCGAGCAGTTTTAATGAGGCAAGATGTGACGTTAGGGAAGGAAGGAAGACAATATCTCTGCCGCGTCTCTCAATCCAAGAGCCAAGTTCTGATAGGTCGTTGCGGGAAGTATTAATTGTAAGTATATGCATGAAATATGATTCCATGTCCGTTACTGACAAATCTTGTATCTTCAAACAGAGACATTATCCATCAGATAGTGATATTACAACAACGCCATCACCTTATAATGATGCATGCTCTCGAAACAATCTTCCTATAGGGTAAGGCATACTAACCATAGCCTCACTATAGAAATTTATTTGCTGAGCCCTGAGTTTGCTTTTGCTTTGAATACTATTTTAGATACAATGGAAGCAAGGCACTTCTTGCAAAGAGATTTCAGCAGCTCAACCACATGATTCAAGTATCCAATGGAAATGAAACGAAAAGAGAGGCTAGTTCTGGTCATGGATCAAATTCAGGTCAGTCTTATTCTGGCAGAAGTCGTGAGGGTCGAAGCTTAATAAGTGGAACAAGGGTAAGCGGAACAAGAGGGATGGCAGCAGGAGGATCTGGTGATGATCCCGACGATCCAAAAAAACCTCATCCGCGTACAGAACCTCAAGACAAGATGGATGGCGATGTGAAAAAAGATCTCAAAGAACAAGAAGAAATGCTAGCTAAACTTTTAAAGTCCATAAAAGTGCCTTATTCGGATCAGTCGAACAACAAACAAACCCAAACATCAGAGGAAGGAAACGTCGTCACGTTACATAAAAAGCTCAAACTAAAAGACAAAGAAATTTCTGCAATGCAAAATCTCATTAATTGCTGTCGGAATGACTACGAGGAGCTTCAGCAAAGTTTTGATATGTATAAGAAAGAATTTGATGAAGTAGACAAGAACCGTGCGTACATACATTCGCTTACAAAGGAAAATGCAGCACTCAGGCAAGAAAATTCCAATAAAGACAGAGCGATATCCAAGTTAGAGGAGCTAAATCGAAAGCTAAAAAACAAGCTTTCAAAAGTGTCAATTGATTGCGATTTTCTCAGGTCCGAGAAACTAGAGCTACTAAAACAATTGAGGCATTATGAACAGAACTACGATGAACCCTCAACAAGCCGAAAAACAAACGAACAAAATGAAAATGCAATTCTGGCTTTGAGGAAATCGTCAAGTTTACAAGAAGTTAAAATATTGAAAGCACAGGAAGCAAACAATCTATTGAATATGAAGATAGAGCACCTACAGAGCATCATCGAAAAACTAAATAACGAAAGACAAAGCCAAGAACAAAGGGAAGAAGAACTGAAAAAAAACCTGGTAAAGCTTTCAGCAGAAAACACTAAGTTAAGCTTGAAGCTGAAGGAAGCTTGCGATTTTACGTCTAAAATCAAGAATGACCTTCAACAAATATACGACGACATAATGGATGGAAGAAAAAGGCTTGATGATGGCAGTATAGAAATGAGAGCTACATCGAGCCCCCTTTCAATGGAACTTGCAGACGTCCAAAACATCATTTATGACGATGAGTTCAAGATGCAACAAAGTCAGGCTAGTATGCTTGCCAGATCAATAACAGCAGCCATGGAAGAACTAAAACAGTCWATAACTAACACTAGAAGAAAACTGGATAAGATAAGCTCTAACAACGACATCATGCAGGAAAAGACRAACACGATTTTCGAGTTGAGCCAAAGGCTATCAAAATTACAGGAAAAATTTGAAGATGAAGAAGCGAAATGCCAAGCCGTTGAGATAACACTCACAGATAAACAAACAGAAAACAAACAATTGTATCAGACTATCGAACAACAAAATGATCAGCTGTCTCATGCGTATGAAGATTATCGATTGATGATGTCCTCTAAAGATAAACAAATCAGTAACCTTCAGAGTGAACTGAACACTGCATTAGCAAAACAAGGTGAGGTTTACGGCGAGTACCAAAGTGTTTATCAAAGCAACCAAGAGTTGCAATCTACSCTGTCTTCTGTGAAATCTGAATCAGATAAACAAGCTGAAAACGAGAAAGAACTGCGTGGATACATCGACGAATTAGAAACTGAGACGCAGAGAATTCTAGGAAATTTGACCAGAGAGAGAAGGAAAAGTCAAGAAATTCAACGCAACTTCGAGAAAGCACAAACCATGTTAACTGGTGACCCCACACAAATGCAGGAAGACCTACAAAGTAAGATCSGTGAATTAGGAAAATTATTGGAGAACATTGACCAATCAACAAGCAGTAATTTGGACTTATGGTGTCATCCATATACCGTTGCCATGGAGAAAGGTATGCAGATCTTGTATGAAGTCACAGGTCTCGTAAATGCGATTGGACAAAAACCAACTGAGACAACGTCCACTAGTGAAACAACTGAAACAAGACAAAATGAGCTTGAAGCCATGATAGAATTCCTCGAAGACAAAAATAAACAACTACAGAATGAAAAGTCAAAACTGGAAAAGAAAATGAAGAAAAATGCAAAGGTCACCTTTTCAGAAGATACAAAGTGCGGAGAAGACTCGAACACCGGAGATCAAAGGACCTATGTTAAAAGTCTCCAGGACAAGTTGAAAGAAAGGGAATATCAACTAGATGAGCTAACAAGACAAAACGACATGGTACAATTAGAAAATAATACTATTGAAGACTTACTATTAGAAGCTAAACAAGAAGCAGTCAAAGAACGAGATAAGTACCAGTCAGAGATCAAGCAATTACAGCAAAAGATACTGCAAAACAAGGAAAGTGGAAACGTCCAAATCAAGAAACTTGAAGAAATCAATAAAGAACTTTTGCATAAAATAGAGCTCTATGATAACTTATTCCAGAAAGGAAATGAAATGAAAGAACAGGAACAGTCAACAGACGTAAAAGTATCAGTGTCTCAGCTGCAAAATGCCATCAAGTTCTTAGAGAAGAGAATTCTAAGGCTGCAAGACGAAAAGCAAGACAGCGAGAGACAGATGAATACTATGTTTAAAAGACTTAACACAGAAACTGAATTAACCAACTGCAAAAATGAACGAGACCAACTCGACTTAGAATACCAGAAAAAGAAGCAGTCGAAGAAACCAGACAGTACCTTGCAGGAAATAGTGGCAAACGCAGAAAKGAGAAGCAGAGAATTAGAGGATTGCCTAGCAGAACGTACCGCTTTACAGGAAGAATTGACTCGCTGGAACTTGACAAAGTACTCAAGTCAAGAAACAATACCAGGAACATCTAAGGTACTTCATTAATTGTATTTTGTTTATATACCATAGCATTGTCGTAGCGCACACCTACTGTATGATTTTTGGTCACATCAGAAGTACATAAACATAATTATGTACTTCTGGGCATAATTAGTAAAACCTTTTTTTGTGGATGATTCTAGTAAATAACTTCCCTATTTAAWAAATSAGCATTCACCCTGTCAGTAAGCTTGTTATTGCGTGAGTGATTGATGGACTCATTTAAGCAAACCGATGCGATCAATTAAACTTGATCAACAAACCAATCATGTGGTTCTATTGTGTTCCAGTTTTCCGCTGAAGATAAGGAAAGCAAGGAAAACGAATTTTTCGAAAGGAATGCTGAAATAGATACTCAAGGAAAGATCACAAGTCTAGAAGCACAGCTTAAATGTCGAACTGATTCAGAACAAGAACTGTGCAACAAGATGTCATCCCTTGAACAGCGAATATCGGTCTTGGAAGCTGAGAAACTTCACCATAGCAGAACCATAACCTCAATGATTAGAACTCTACAAGCGAAAGATGATTTAGCTAAAGCCATCAAAGCAAGAGACRACACAGAGAAAGATTTCAATAAACAGCTAGATGACATGGAGGTGATTGTCACGAACCTGAAAAACGAAAAGCAAAAAGCTCAGAGCGATGAAGATTTAAAGGCAAAGTACAAGAAAGAGTATTATGAGTCACGAGAGAAAGTCAGAAAGTTAAATGCGACTTTACAAAAACGTAATCAACTTGTCGAAGAGATGCGAGGTTACATCAAGGAACTGAGAAAAGAAGAAGAAAAACTAGAAGCRATGGACTTTCATGATTTGAAAACGCACTTTGATGTTCTACGTACCACACTCGAAGACAAAGATACAACAGAACAAAAACTAAAGAAAAAGTTAAAATCACTGAAAGAAACTATCTCTAACTTGCAAGCAGAAAAATGTGAGAGTGATAGAATGGTCGAATCTTTGCTGAAGTCTGTAGAGCAGAACAACAGTCGTGACGTAGAAAWTCTAACTGAACAACTCAAAGTAATGTCAGATAAARTGAGTCAACTCCAAAAAGAAAAGCAAAACCTGGAATACGAATTGCAGTTTTCGAAAAAKATTATTGAGCAAGCGCGAGGTGAAATCAAACTACAAGAGAAAAGTTCGCAAGAGAACATTGAAAGCTTAGAAAAAAGTTTAAAGGCTCGYCATAAYGAGAAACACGAACTAAAACAGATGCTGAAGACGCTGAATGACAAAGTGGTGCAGATGGAGGCCGACAAAAGTCAGAATGAGAAAAGTATGAAAATTYTATTAAATTCCTTGAAATGTAAAGATGATCTAGAAAACTCGCTAAAGGAAAAACAARTCACAGAAAAKGCTCTGAACGATAAGCTAAGCCAGCTCCAGTTACAGAAAGACGAGACTCTAAAAGAATTGCAGCAACAAATWMAAKATTTAAAGGCCACCGAGGATTCAGCAAATGAAAAGATTGCACAMATGGAAACTGAGCTACAAGAGCTGGCTGCGCAAAAGGTTAGGTTATATAATATTTTCGTGAAATAAAATYGAGTTRAAACGAGTTAATKTGTATACTAAATGCAAGACAATCTATATTCAGTGCCACTGACTTTCATGACTTAGCTATTTCACGCTTTACATTTACTATTTCACGCTTTACATTGTCTTACAGCTAAGTCTAGASGGGGAAGTCAACTGTTTATCTAAGAAACTTTCAGAAGCTGAAGAAGGAAAAAAGGCCAGTATTTCTGAGAGCAAATCACTTGCTGAGAGTCTATTTAACGAGCTCAACAAGAAAACTTGTAAAGTACAGAACCTTGAAAACCAAGTTAGTGAACTACAAACCATAACAACGAATTTAAAGGAAACTTTGACATTGAAAGAGGAGGAATGGTCGAAGTCTTTACAAGGTAAATTTCAGTTGTAAACTCCCGCGTCCTACCAAACGTTTTTTCTGTTACATTGCTGACATTGTACTAGAGTAGGCATCATATATTACGTCCTTTCTATTCGCAAGGTATTTTAGGTACCGGGATTTGATGCTCGTTTTCATTCATAATTCGTTATATCCMGCTTTATTTTAACAGGAACAAAAGATCAGCTTGGAAAAAAAACGAATGATTTACGGAAGACGATCGTAGAACTGAACGAGGCTCTTGAACAAAACGACAATAAGAACCAAAATCTGTGGACAAAATTACAGGAATCAAAAGACAAGGTTTCGGAGCTCACTCAAGAAAYTTGCCTTCTSTGGAARCACAATGGACAGCTCCAGGAAGAAAATGACGAGCTTCAGGACTACATTTCTCAGCTGGAGCTRAGCAGGAAGAACGATCAAACAGACTTATCGAACAGGATTCACGAGTTGGTGGCAGAATCCAAGATTGACAACGAAAAAATTGAAGCTTTAGAGCGTGATATTATGTTAAAAACTGAAACGCAAAACAGAATGGCAACGGAAATACAGTACATAAAATCAGAGATTTTCCATGAAAAAACCAACAAAGCTGAAGTCTTAGGCATTCTTGAATATACTAAACAACGAGTTGAAGACCTCGAAAGAGAAAACATGAAACTTAGAGAAAGAAGCAACGATATCTACAAGAAATCAGGAATTGACGACGTTGAAAARCGGGCAAAAGAAGTGATTTTAGAGTCCCTGGGTGACTCTGAGAAGACTATAGGGAGAATACGATCCAACTGGCAGTACATAGAGAATCTGAAATCCAAGGGATTTTACCATACACAAAAAGATTGTAAAACACAGACAGAATCAATGATGGAGGGAACATCAGATAGCAACACTGATAGATGGGTAAGGAAATATGTCTTCTTACAAATGCCAGCCATGAGTAAATTTTCTAAATAAGTTAAACTAAAGTTCACAATGTTATTTTTTACCTTTTTCCCCAGGTATCTTCAACATTGCCTAAAAGCARCCTGCAGAGTCTACATCAACCTGCTAATACAAGCTTTATTTAAAATACTACCACAGTATAAAGACCCGACAAATAGTTTTGCCATGTCTCTCYTGTTCACAGCCCTGGTCTGCACCTCCTAGTCATGACTCCCTCCCATATATATGAATACTAATGAATTATGATTTATATAACCATCTATATCCAATATACATAAACAGTATATATTGTTCTTTCCAAAACAATTAGTTATAAAATGCTCTAGMAAACATAATAAAAGTCTTGTATATCTCAACTGCATTGTTCTTACTTTAGTGATTTAAAAATATTTTGTACTGTCTTAACAATGGAACTGTATCTTCTTAACCTAATCAGTCAACCCATACCATAGYRTTTTAGACTGGGAACCTTTCTATTATGTCTACCTGTATTCCTAGCTAGTGACAATCACTYCTATGTGTCCAAACTGGTTTTCTTTTTTCTAAGAATGCCTTGATCCCTTCTTGGCCATCTGATGTTTGGAGATTTTCAACCATAACTGATTCAGCTTGTCTTWAAAAAAATTAAGCAATTATTTGGTGAAACAATGAGATAACCATGTTGAAGTGAGACATGGCATTATTAGTACCTGTAAGCTTCATCTCTTGTTTTGGTTACTTGTGAAWAAAAACATGCCTTTCCCATCGCTATTACAGGCTGACTTGTACTGCATATTTTATCAACTACTTTGTTGACTTCATCAACAAGAGACTCCTCATTGACTACTTTGCTTATTAGACCATGTTTTAAGGCATCTGAATAAATTTAAAAAAATTGTGAACTCATTTTAAATTATAAAATACCATCAGAATAAATGTTCTTTAGCACTATGATAATCAACTTTTCAATACCTTGAGCAGTTATTGGATGACCTGTTAACAACATCTCCATAGCAACCTTTCTAGGAACAGCTCTGGCTAAGGCTACACCAGGAGTAGAGCAAAACAATCCGATATTGACACTAGTAGTGGAAAATACGGTATTAATCATATAGAGTGCACGTCACATAAGCATGAAACAATTCTTAATATGTATTGTTAAATAAGATTTAGTTATCAACTAACTAAGAATTCAACAAAGCATAAACACAATGCCAATTATTTAAATTCCTTTTGTAGCATTGTTCTCAATTCTTAGTTAGTTGATAACTAAATCTTATTTAGCACTACATAGTTAAGAATTGTTTCATGCTTATGTGACTTGCACTCTACCCTGAGCACCAAACATAGCCTGATATCTAGACTATATTGGGCCCAACACTACATTGGGATATACCAATGACACAGTTATTTACCCTGGTGTAGCAAATTGACTTTTTTCTGAGGCTATAGCAATGTCACAACTTGCAACAAGTTGACATCCTGCTGCTGTTGCAATACCTGATGGATCAATGTAAGAGACAGTTTATTATATGATTCAAGAAGAATTTAAGGAAAAAAAATTAACCAAGGTACTCCAGACAAAACTCATTCAAAAGTCTGCTAAAAAGAAACCATTGGAAAAATATGTATTTCCTAAATAATTTAAWAGCTGTTATGAAATTATCTATCCCTGAATATGAAGGGATTGTTTCATGGTGTTTAACYGAAAGTCAATATTTCTAAAGTTGAGATTAGGCCATACGCTACTGCTGGGATGAATTTACTTTTCTCGAGCTTTCGTCGGTCGCCGACATCATCATGATGATGTTGCAATCGATGAAAGCTCGAGAAAAGTAAATTCATCCCAGCAGTAGCGTATGGCCTAATCTCAACTTTATCTTGCTCAATAWTTCTTGATGTCCACTCTGAAAAAAGTAGCTTTAAAGATTGATGACACTTTGCGCTAACACCAAGATTAGAATGATWAATTAACATGATTTAGGAAGTAATTTTCAGGCATTAAGTTGCTGGTTGACCTAATTATTATAGAAAACAAGTTGTGAACTCACCATTCACTTGTGCTATAACTGGGTAAGGGATGTCCTGAATCAACGACATAACCTCTGTACAATGATGGAATACTTTTTTGTGGTAATTTTTTCCTTGTTCATCAGTCTGAAACAGATACATAATCAAAATCAGATGTAAGTATTCATTCCTAATTGTAGTTTATATTTTTTTCCCAGTGGACTAGTTGTTTGGAGCTTCTGATGTAAATTCATGCAATTCATGGATTGACAATGTTATTGACAATTTCCGAGATATGTATAAATCTTTAAAATATTTCATGCATGCCCTTACATGTTTGTATTCTTACCAGTTCTTTGAGGTCATGTCCAGAAGAGAAGACTGGGCCATTTGCAGACAGTACTATCACTCTTAGTTCGTTATCTAGGTCATGCAGAAGATTGCATTTTAAGGACTCTAGCATAGCCAAGGATAAAGCATTTCGTTTCTTTGGGTTATTAAGAATGATTCTTCGTACACCATTTTCCTGATTGCATAGTGTCAAAGGTTGAACACTTGGCGCAGAGCACATCAACCTGAATGCTACTCTGTGTGTCTGCAAAACACGGATTTCGCATAAATTTCTCATTCTAATAAATACAAACAATTTCAAGCACTTATTCTACTATTCAGAGGTAGTAAAGAATACAATTCAAACCTGACAAGACAGAAGTTTTCTCCCATAACGATGCATTTTTGTCGTAGGAGAGCCTGCTCTGTCAGCGGATATACAACACAGGAAGCCCAACACCCACAGCTCTCAATCTTCGAAGCTTCCCTGTGTGAGTTCAGGCCGTTCAGCGAATTATCTATGAGACGGTTATACAGATTTCAGATATGTGTATTTGTCTAGTAACTTTAGTTATAAATTGAAGAAGTGGAGTTGAAACGTATGGAAAAGAAGTACCAGAGTCTTGAAAAAGGGGTGTGGCTGACTGATTTTTATCCCCAACTCCCCAAATAAGAGATTTAACTTCATATGACTAAAAAAACTTTTAAAAGCTTCCATCTTTTTAAAAATTGTCCTGTTCGATGTACTTGAATCTTCAATAATAAGTCTAAATCCAACCTACAGACATCTTTTTGATTTATTAAAAGTGCACATGAACCCTTTTAACAGAAGGCAAATATGATGCTAATAATTGTTTTGAAGAAAAAAAAATTGCTTGAATTTTATTTTCTGAGTTAAAGGCATTTGAAAATTGAAAATGCTAATGAAGTGACGTCAAGGGAGGCTTCATTAGATACTATGCAAATCACTGAAAATACTGATTCGAAAATGTATGTTATGGCATGTGCCCACAGGTATATGTCTTTGCACATGTGTGATTTGTTTTTGCAAAAGTCATGCAAAATTCAATCTATGGAGCATTGTCCTTGAGGGCATGACTTCTATTTGATTTCATGTGACTCAATGTACTGCTGCAAGATTGGCAGTGGTCCACTAGTGTTGTGACACTATACACAGTGATCCAACTATAGTCTGCACAACGAATTAAGTATAGTTTACAACATGAGCGGCCGTGTTGTATGGGAATTACAATCTCGAGCCGCAGGCGAGAGATTGTAAT